ATAAATCTTTTATAACTATGACCACATATTTCTGCATTTACATTATTTCATACATTTTTTTCATTCCTATATATAATATTCTATATGTTCTATGTATAGCAGTTTTTACTATATTTATGTCATTTTGTATAATATATAATATATTAAATCTTTTATAACTATGACCACATATTTCTGCATTTACATTATTTCATACATTTTTTTCATTCCTATATATAATATTCTATATGTTCTATGTATAGCAGTTTTTACTATATTTATGTCATTTTGTATAATATATAATATATTAAATCTTTTATAATTATGACTTTATATATTTGTGTATTTACATTATTTCATACATTTTTTTCATTCCTATATATAATATTCTATATGTTCTATGTATAGCAGTTTTTACTATATTTATGTCATTTTGTATAATATATAATATATTAAATCTTTTATAATTATGACTTTATATATTTGTGTATTTACATTATTTCATACATTTTTTTTATTCTATATGTAATATTCTATATATTCTATGTGTAACACTTTTTACTACATTTACATCGTTTTATCTAATATTTGTTTGCTATAGTCTATCTCATATTTCAATCTTTTAATCCTTTTCCGGTTGTGTAGTTGTCTATTGTTTTGTTGATCTTTCTTCCTTTCTTTTTTGCTTTCTTGCTTTTCCCCTCCTTTCCTCCAGCCAATTGTATAATAAACCCCATACGGAGTAATATTCAGATTCGTCTTTCTCTTTCAGTTCTTTCGTGAGCCTATCCATCTCTGCACATTCCAATATTTTTTTAATTACATTTTCTTCTGTTGGCATATAATTATTTTTCCAGTTTTGTGCAAACAGAATTCTCGCTGCCATAACGATGTGTAAAATTAAGTATCTGGTATTTTTTTCATAATTTCCTTTTATAATACCTAACAAAAATAATTCAGGTTTTAATGCAATTTGATGTGTATCTCCTCTAGCCAATGTAGTTTTCTTGCACCCAGCTTGGTTTGTGTATTGATTCATGGATTACCAAAGTCCTTTTTTTCCCCCTAATTTAGTGCGTTATAAGCACTTAGCACAACATTTTCTTTTTTTATAAATATAATTCTTATTGAGATTTTCTTTGCAATGTGGGAAGAAAAGGACGGATTTTGAACATTTTTCCTTCCACAATAAAATGTAATAAATATTTTCAGATATATAACATTATGTTCTCTTTACCATCTAAGTAGTTATCAAAAATAGCCTTTCAGCTGTATGCTGAAATTGGTGTGTTTATGAAAAAAAATTATCTTAATCTCACTCATTATTCATTTTTGGAATTTTAAGTATGCTTGACTCTATATTATTCATCAAAAAGTTTGAGAAATCTTTTAGCCTTTCACAATCTAATAGAACTATGAACACATTAATACCAGCAAGAGTTTCTTGTTCATTATCATAAAAAAACACAGAATTGTAGAATATATTTTTGGCTAAACAATGCCATATCAACTGAAAATGGAGTAGCAATCACAAGGTAGCTTTTAATCCAGGAAGTAGAATTGCATTTTGCCTATCCCTGCTACCTTGTGTTTTTCATCATTATGTTTTCATTGATTTGTCTTTCTTTCAGCAATTTGGCAATTCTCATTAATTCCCTAATATCAGGATTATCTGATCACCAGATTCCCTCCGCTCAGATGCCATCAATTATTAAAACTTATTTAGTACCTTGCAAAAGAAAGTCTGGCTAACGAAGCCTGACTGCAAGGGATATGTTATTTATCAAAATCTTTCTGTCCAACAAAATCCCCCACTCTTCCTGAAGAGATCACATTTTGCATTGGAATTAACATCTGCCTAATATGATGCAATAAATGTGACAGCTGATGCTGATATTAGCAATGGACCCATGAACATAGAGAGTCTAAACAACACGTTCTATTTGAAATCATAACAAAAGTTGCCTAACTAGNTTTGCAAGCCTCCCAAACTCTTTGCATGACCATTTTTGCAAAGGGGGTAGGGTTTGGAGAGGCCAAAAATGCTGTATTCAGTGTATAAGACGCACCCAGATTTTCACCTTCTTTTTTGAGGGGGAAAAGATACGTCTTATACTCCGAAAAATACGGTAACTGGTGGTTTCCACCAACGAAGTCTATGAGGAAGCTGGCAGAAGGTTGCAAATGGTGATCACATGACACGTTACACTACAACTGCAGCTGACAGCAGCAACCGGACAGCCCAAACTGCCAAGGTAAATCGGCGTGGTCACAAGATATCACACTCTATGGATGGTGTAGCTGAGTGATGGGAGTTCCTGATCCCAATGATCCTCACCAAACAAGGAATACCTGAACCTTAAACGTCATGAAAGTAATCCTTTTTTAAAAATCCGTCGACAGTGGGAAGCATAAAGGCCACTTTATGTATTGTGTTCGAGTGCATGAATTACACAGCAGTTTAAAACTGGATTTGGAGGGGGGGAACCCAAGGAGAGTATTTTGCATCCAAAGCAGCATCTGAGAACTACATCTGAGAGCCACTATATTAAGACAACAGAATGACTTTGACTCAAAAGACTAGACTGAAAGATGTTCAGCACATTCCGTACCACAGCTGTACAAGCATGTGAAGATTTTGCCTCCTCCCCTGCTTTGCTTCATCACAGCAAGACCAGATGTTAGCAAGAATTGCTAGCAAGCTTACAAAGCCATTCCACTTTTCTAAGTTTTGGCAGTATAAACATATACAGACTCAACACTTCCAGTTCCTATTTTAAAGCCACTATTGCCAGACTGCTCTGTTTTCTTTCTATATTGAACACCAGGTTTCTACAGTCATCATCCTCTTAACGACCCCATAATCCCTTGTGGGGTGGAGTCTGGGCAACTGAATGGAGCTGAGTGTTTACTGGCCGGATGCCCATCCTGTCGCCAATGTGGAGTTTTATTCAGCAGATATATTCTCAGTGTGCCCAGAGAGAGAAATATCTGCCTCTATCTAGGATCAAACTCACAGTCTCTTGATTGTGAGGCATGAGTCCTACCTCAAAGCCACCACACCCCTCGCCAGGTTTCTACAAGGGTGATGCCTTTTGGGAAGATTGCACATCATCTTCCATGAACCTCAGCTAACATCCCCATGAACCACGCTATCTGTGGATTGTGGGACAAGTTAGGAAGGTACCACATTTGCAAAGGTGTTGTTCAAAGTAGCATTCAATCTGGGAACAGGAAACAGCAATGACATTACCGATGTTCGGTTTTCCAAATTCTGCCTCCTCTGGACACCTACAGGACGCATTGCCCCTGTGCCTCCGAAAGTTTAATTTGATGGAATGGGGATCTCCACTGCTCAGTGACTCAAGGCAAGGCTCCAACAGAAGGGAAAGCAAGTAAAACAACAATAGCAACAGCCACTCCTCAAATTTATGGCTGTTACAGGAAAGGACTATGTGGATTATCGTGCTTTGATAAACACAGCACCATCGGGGACCGTTGCACGCTCCTCTTGTTCGGTTACAGTCTCAACGGTCCCCGAAGCTGATACAATCACTACACTTTTAGTCGAAGTGCTTTTTTCCTTTTCTGCAATGGCAGCACACACAGCCAAGATCTCATCGCTTTCAAAATCGTAATCTGGGATCGGCTCCTCCAAAGTTTTCGTCTCAGACCCCTGTGTTCCTGTCTCTGTTTTGCTTGCTTTTTTCTGTTGTTGCAATTTTTTGGCCCAGGAAAGATCTTCGTTCCACAATTCAGAGTTGAGTGGATAGATGTGCAAGGCAATCTGGAAACTTCGAATCGCCTGAAAAAAAAAACAAGCAGGAAAACACAGCCATTAGCATCCGCCAACCCATCAATACTTTCATGCCTTGAAAGAGTTAAGTGATGTATTATGGAACGGTGTTAAGAATCTAATGGGTTTGTATGGATTCTGCTTATACCGAATACAAAACCTGATCTTTTCAAATGTGTGGCCAAGTATGATCCAGTTGCAAACACAAGCAACATATTCATTGGTGGCTTTGATCCGTGGTTCAAGTTTTGGATTTGAACTGGGCATATTAAAATTCAACTCAACATATCCAAGGCCGGCAGTGAATGCTATCTTGAGCTCTTCCTTTAAACAATTACTAGTTTTAAAAGTGCCTTTACAATGTGCTATATTGTTCCTGGGGTTATTTATTTATTTCCATGGCAGTGCATATAATCAGATTTGGATTTATTTCAGACTTTGATATTTTTTAAAAAGTTTTGTGTAACCTGGAAACATTCTGATACATCAAATGTCTAACATGACAGTTATTTCATTTTATAAGGTTCTTCAAAAATACCAGAAGTACTTATAAAAAGATTCTATTCCTTCCGATCCAGAAGGGCGGGGGGAATGTGTTAAGACATTTACAGCCTCATTATCATGGAAAAACATTTATTTCATTCAGTGATGTCTTGATTATTGCAACATCTCCCCCAAAACTTTGAATTACAGATTCAACTGTTTATTTTGTTAAATGTATAACAATTGCCTGCATAAATGTACAAGCAGACCTTACAAGCATTTGAAATAATTCCGCTCAATTCTCTGCAGTCCAGGACCCATCAACAGCTGTTAGATCAATAGACTGCTTAGATAGTGAATAAATGTGAAAATAATTCAGTGTTACAAAATACAAAAGGACTATTTTAATTTTCTTTCTTTTTAATGAGGTCCCCAAGACATACATTTATCACCGTATAATTGTGTAGTATGAATACTAGTTATTTTTATGAATCTGAATTACTAAACCCCTTTATTCTAATAGTATATATGGATTATTAGTTTTATGTGGCTAAATATATAATTTACTAGGTCAAATAGAGACTTTAAACCATCATGAAACATATAATTAAATCCTGAACTATGTAATTAAACCATGGTAATGAATTCACTTCCTACAAGAGTCAGGAAAACTTCCAGATTTTATATTTCAGAAAAAAAGGACTCTTCTCATTTTAGGTTTTTGAGAGAATGCTGACCATTAAGAAGCACTGAAGGGAAATTCTGATTTTCATCCACTGTGGCACAGACACACCAAAATTCTAGGACCACAATTGTCACAAAAAATCTACTCTCCAGAGATTTTTGAGTTATTTTTTGCTTGTTGTTGTTAGTCACAAAGTCGTGTCCGACCCATCCCGATCCCATGGACAACGTTCCTCCAAGCCTTCCTGTCCTCTACCATCACCCTGAGTCCATTTAAGCTCACGTTGACTGCTTCAGTAACTCCATCCAGCCACCTCATTCTCTGTCGTCCCCTTCTTCTCTTGCCCTCAATCTTTCCCAGCATTAGGCTCTTCTCCATTGAGTCCTTCCTTCTCATTAGATTGCCAAAGTATTGAGGTTTTTTTTTTTGCTACAGTCATATTAAAAATGTTGTGTGTGTCTGTGTGTGTGTGTATATAGATATATATGATGGGATGAACAAATCAATTAACTGCACTGAATTTAAATGCAAACAGAAAGGAATTAATATTACAGTTTTACCTCAAACACTTTCTGGAATACATCCTCAATGCAATGAGTTTGAGAAAATTCACATCATTGCACTTGACAATATATATGGGGTGGTAGAAGATTAAAGTGGAGATGGCCATTGATACATGAGGGCAGAAATCTCCATGGCAAACATATGGCATGCATGCCAAAGGGGGCACGCGGAGCCCTCTACAGGCACACAAGCAGTCTCCCCAGCTCAGCTCCACCATGCATGCGTGCATCCCACTGGCAAGCTGATTTTCGGGTCTCTGCCATGCATGTGGGGGGAGGGGCGCATGTGGGAGATGCGCATGCATGCGTGGGGGTGGGTCATGAATGCATGTGTGGGGGTGGGGAGCATGGG